TTATGTTCATGATTTTTTTTTTCTGACACTTATTTTCAAATGCATTTAACTTTCGTTCCATGTCTTTGGTAGTTCACCTTTTGCTGGCCACATGTTAGAATTGAAATAACGTTACTATTGAAGATTTATAACTTGGTCTAAAAGCTGCTAAACTTGGAGCTCCACATTTTTGTTAAGGCTTTTAAAGTGTGTTGTTGCTTTACAAATGTGTATTATAATTCCCTTTGCTGTATCTCCTCCTTGAGATTCAAAATTGCCACCCAAACAGGTGAAATGGTTCGTTACTTTTATTGCTTAGTTCTTTGTGTAAGCTGTCAAAGGCCTTCTTGAAATCAATACAATTCACCATTTAGAGGTTACTGTTTCACAGTTAAATATGTCTGGAAATAAAATGTGCAATTTATTTCTTCCTCTTCTTCGTCTTTATCAGCTTTAAACTCCGGCGGAGAATTCTGGTTGTTCGTCTACTTCTGGATTCTAGTCCTGTTTCAGAACCTGTGTTGCGTGCACATCCGTTTTACAGATCTGATCATTTGTGTATAGACTGTTAGCTCCTTGCCTCTCAGGCAGATGTACTCCGACTGAAGGAAACTACCAATTAGTTGACTCATAAGACATTTTTTGGGGCAGGCACTGGGTCTATTGTTGTTTTCCCCATAGTGGGGCCCTGGAACTCACACAGGAATACAATATATTGTTTGTGTTTACTTATTTAAACTCGCTAAGGGAAAGCAGTTTTACAGGTATAAAGACAGTCTGAAATAGTAAATTCTGGGTAAGCTCACCATCACACACACACCAAAATGGCTGAAGCTAACTTGTCTAAGGTACGAACCCATCTCTCACAGTTCACTGCAGGCTAGATAGTGAATGTACATTTGCTCAAAGTTGTCAAGGATAACATGTATGATATAAAACAAGGAATTTCATAAACTGTACAAGATCTTTGCAAAAATAAAATGGCATGTGAAAGCCAAAATGTTTTTCTTTTGAAAACTCTTTTGTTTGATTCATTTTTGTTTGTTCTATCTAGGATTGAAAATTTTTTTTTCATTTACAAGAAATTATACACAGCAAATCTGGAAAGGGATGTAACCCTTTAAACTATTTAGCAGATGTAAAGCTAATGGTCTTCTCGGCTTTATTCCTATCTTGAGCTGTAAAGTAGAACACGACAAAGGCATGTATTCTGGCGTAACAATGCACTTTATCTGAACTCCTTAACAAATAGGCAAACAAAAGATATACTGATGTGTTGTTTTACCTCACATTGGGGCTGCAGTCTCATCCTTTCTTCCATCCTATTGTGTGCAATTGTTTTGATATCTTGGATGGTATCAGTACACTGACTTTGGCCTCTCTTGACAATGTTAGTCTGAGGGTGTTTCTTGGACGTGCTCATTTCCTCAATCTGTTTCATATCTCAGTGCCTGCTTTGTGATTCTGTTTGCCTCTTCTCGTGATGTGCCAAATATAATGCCCTCATCTTTTCCTCACATATATTGATACTAGAGGTTACTCAGAAAGTTCTCAGATTTCTTATCCTGTCTTTAATTTAACGTTCATCAATTTCCGAAGGCATCTGCTTTAGAATAAATTTACCTTTCCTTCCATGTCTTATATAACAAGTGCCTTTACTGGCTGTAATTACCACTTCTGTGATGCAGGCGGCGAAAAAAGGGGGGGGGGAGGAGGTGGAGTCTTTCAGCCTGAGGATTTAGGGATGAATGGCTAATGCTGTCGCTATGGACTGTATTGGTCAGGATTTGATTTTCGCCCCGATAGAAAAATCATTTGCCCTATAGAGAATTTGAACCCTTAATTCCTGCATGAAAGCCCTGCATTCTTTACCATTCGGCCAGCAGCAACTCTTAGGTCTTATGTGCTGGGACCAAATTAAGTTGTGTTTGACTTTTGTCAACACAAGTTGTGTTTACAATTCATTGGCATCTGTAGTTGAGGATAGGAGAAGAAAAGTAAAGTCAATCTAGTTCAAGTCAGCCTAGTTAATCAGGGATCTGATTATAATGAGATCATTCTTGGTGTCTGCAATCTATGGAAGAAATTGAGCAGTAAAGTCATCCCAACATCAGATAAGATAGTTGATGTTGGCAGTTAAGCAAGAAATGGAGCTGAGATGTCCCTTAAGTGGAACAGAATATTCATTTGAGTTCATCAAGAATTTAATTACAAACAGATCGTTTTTGGTGTCCACAGTCTAGTGTAGAAGTGGAACAGAAAAATTAGTCAAGTTAACGTAGAAAATTGTCAAGATTTTAGTTGCCGGAAATGCTGACCAGGCAACAAATACCTGCAGAAGTCGGATGTGTTGGCCAAAAAGCGCAAATATCGCAGCCATGCTGTAAACAGGCACAACACAGTTACATCTTTGGATGAACGAAGAAGAAGATTTTAGCTGATATCCGCAGTGTTGAGTATGTTGAGTAGCAGCAAAGCAGAAAGTAAATCTGGTTATAAACAAGAATGCTCCCAGTGTGGGTTCCAGGGTCCCATTTTGGGGAAGAACAAGAATAAACCCACTGTCCCATGAACAAGCATGTCATTAAAGTAGACTAAGCAGGGGTGTTTCCTTCAAAATTAGAGTGTATCTGCCTGAGAGACGAGGAACCAATTGTTTTTAAACAAATAAGCCAAATCTGTAAAATGGGTGTGTGCTTACAAATCGAGTTCTGGAACAAGACTAATTTCCACAAACTTACAAACAAGCAGAACTTTTCGCAGGAATTTTACAGAAAGTGAAAGTGAAAGAGGAGGAGGAGGAGAAGAAGAAGAAGCAGAAGAAGAAAGAAGAAGAAGAAGAAGAAGAAGAAGAAGAAGACGAAGAAGAAGAAGACAAACTATTTCATGAAACCTAATATTTCAGCTGTCAATGCTAACTAGGAATATAAGATATCCACTGATACAATTTGCAACTTTTAAAAACACCAACCTTTCATACAGCAGAAGATCGTGTCAGATTTTTCAAGACATAAAGCCAAAAGTTAATATTCTCCATGATGCTGTGTCACATGTAAAACTATCCATTAAACAGTTTCAAAAGCAAATTAACTGCTCAAAACCGTAACCTGAAATCTGTTGAATCAACATGTCTTGTGTCGTATCAATGTCTGAATAACCAAAATAAAACAAAATAAACAAACAAATAAACATCTGTATCAGGTCACAAAACACAATAACTAAGCAAACAGTAAACACATTTATTTAGTCAAGCAATTACTTGATATGTACAGATGACTCACAGAAACAACAGTCTGACAGTTTCATACAATGAAATATGATGACTGCAGCTGTTTGCTGGCTCTCCTCTCCTGGATAGCGTGACCGCAGTATCGGACGTTGAAAACGGGACATCCAATTAATATTTTGATCTGAAAACAGGACACATCTTTGAAGTCAGACCTGTAAAATGGGCGTACATGCAAAACTCAGGTTCTGAAACAAGATCAAAGTCCAGGAGGTGGACGAACAACCAAAACTTTCCGTTGCAGTTTATAGCCGGTGAATGCTAAGGAGAAGAAGAAGAAGGAGAAGCAGAGGACACTCTTGTTGGCCCTTTAGTTCTAATGTGCCAATCAAAAGCTGTAAAAGTGTTCATCAAAGAACTGTCCTGTCTTTACAAACTCATAAATATACCCCGTATATCCACACCTTGCATAAAAATGAAATTAACAAACTGTTACAATAAAATGGCACATGATGACAATCTGGCAGAACTTTAGTGCAGAAGGCTATAGTGTGTTGTCTTTTTATAAGCTTTTATTAAGTTCGCTTTTGTCTGTCTGTGAACATTATGAAGACAATGAAAATGTAATCACAATGTCATACATATTACCATTTTGTTTACTGCATTTTGATTCAAAGAAATAATTAGTTTTCTTGTTAATATATATCTACAAAAGAACAAATATTGGTCAAAATAATAAAAACGGGGTCTTCATAATTAGATATCATACATCCCATTGACAATGGTGAACGAAAGTTTTCATAATCAAATATAATTCTATCTGTTAACGACAGAGGTATAAAAGTCTATAATCAAATACAAATTCCCTGTGGGGTCACGGACCCCTTTGTGGGGAAAACAAGAACAGACCCACTGCCGACCCAAAAGCATCTCATAAGAGTCAACTAGGTGGGAGCTTCCTTCGAAGTCGGGGTGCGCTTGCCAGACAGGCAAGGATCCAGCAGTCAGCATACACATATGTAGATCTGTAAAATGGATGCACACGCAACACTCAGGTTCTGGAACAGGACTGCAGTCCAGAAATGGATGAACAACCAGAACTTTCCACCAGAGTTTACAGCTGATGAACGTGAAGAAGAAGAAAAAAAAACAGAAGAAGAAGAAGAAGAAGAAGAAGAAAAAGAAGAAGGAGGAGGAGGAGAAGAAAGAAGAAACTGGGTAAGGAAAGTTTTCATAATCAAATATATTACGTCTGTTTAGATCAGGAAATGAAAACCTTACTAATGAACTATATACGTCCTGTTCAGATCTCGGGTAATGTTAGTCTTCGTAATTAAAATATGTCCTGTTCAGGCTGAGAAATGAAAGCCTTGGTAATCAAATATAGAATTCCCTGATCTGACTGGGTAATGAAAGTCTTTGCAACAAAATATAATATGTCCAACTGAGTTTTCCCAATTAAAAATCATACACCCGACTGAGAGTAGGAAATGAACCAATATACTGACACTTGCTATGGCAGGAATGTCATCACTGTCATCAAGTACCTTGCCGACTGACATGGGCGATCATGCCTCTCCACAATCCGTGATCCACAATTGCATGTTTCAGTTCATGTGGCGACACCACTCAATGCCACGACAAAATGCCATCATGAATCTTCTTGCGCTGTGCCTTCCTCTGTCTCTCTCTCTCTCTCTCTTTTCACAGATCTTTCCATCAGTCACAACATGTTCCATTTTCCCTCTTCTCATAACATGACCACAAAATGATGACTGTCTCTTTCAGATGTTTGTTATAAATTGTCTACAAGTACTCGCCTCTTTAAAAACATCCAAGTTGCTCTGCTTAGCTGTCCAAGAAATTCTAAGAATTCTTCCGTAAAACCACATCTCCACAGCCTCAAACCACATCTCCACAGCCTCAAACCACATCTCCACAGCCTCAAACCACATCTCCGCAGTCTCAAACCACATCTCCGCAGCCTCAAACCACATCTCCGCAGCCTCAAACCACATCTCTGCAGCCTCAAACCACATCTCCACAGCCTCAAACCACATCTCCACAGCCTCAAACCACATCTCCACAGCCTCAAACCACATCTCCACAGCCTCAAACCACATCTCCACAGCCTCAAACCACATCTCCGCAGCCTCAAACCACATCTCCGCAGCCTCAAACCACATCTCCGCAGCCTCAAACCACATCTCCACAGCCTCAAACCACATCTCCACAGCCTCAAACCACATCTCCACAGTCTCAAACCACATCTCCACAGTCTCAAACCACATCTCCACAGCCTCAAACCACATCTCCGCAGTCTCAAACCACATCTCCGCAGTCTCAAACCACATCTCCGCAGTCTCAAACCACATCTCCACAGCCTCAAACCACATCTCCACAGCCTCAAACCACATCTCCGCAGTCTCAAACCACATCTCCACAGTCTCAAACCACATCTCCACAGCCTCAAACCACATCTCCACAGTCTCAAACCACATCTCCGCAGTCTCAAACCACATCACATCTCCGCAGCCTCAAGATTTTGTAGGAATGTACATAATCTATAAATAGCATATTACTAGAGACATCAAAAAGATTTATTGCATAAGAAACACAAACATCATGAACACTGAAGCGGAAATATTGTTACAACGGTCAAGCATATTCACATATCTGTTGCTGTCAAAATTTTAGGTAAGCACAAAATGAATCAATATAAAAGTGTGGAATAGTAGGGTAAACAAAACAAAAAAGACAAAACGCTGATGAGGTGCTAGGGTGGAAAGATAAGAGAAGTGTTGTGAAGGTTCCAATGTGCAAAAAACTTAATGTTAAGCATAAAGTGTGTGTGTGTGCGTGTGTATGACTGTACATATTATGTATTTTTAAATGTTTGTATGTATATAACAGTGTCGGATGAACCTTTAAGCACGCTCTTGAAAATGAGGTGCCCCACTAAAATTTCTAAAGCTTTTAGAATGTCTGGGTGCCCTCCAGAACCGTCTTAACAGCATTATGGGCCACTGAGCAAAACAGTGTGCTGAGGCCCTTACAGCAACCACTCACAGGAATGGTATTTGAATGTATGGCCAGTCACTTGACATATACATAAAAGGATGGCACCCCTTGTGTATTCCATCAACTGTTCCTATGTTTACTGTCATACGCCCTTTCAAAATCCACAAAAACACTATGTATATCTCTTCTCCCGATTTTGCTCTGCTATTTGTCGTAAAATGAATATACTACATGCTATGGCAATAGCAGCAACGTTTTGTTTAACTCTGAAAATTTGTTTCTATTTTATGGTTTATTACTGTTTACATTATGAATCACATAAGCATGAAAGGAAATTGGGGGTGGGAGCAATCTCAAATCTTTCAAGTGCTTAGGACTCCTCAGGGTGTTCATCCGGCCCTGGTCTATTAAGTATTTATGTTTATGTATGTGCACGAATGTGTGTGTGTTATGTATGTATGGGGGACATGACTCAGGTTGCTATGGCAAACAGAATGAATGGATCTAGAAACAAATATTCATAAATCTACACTGAATGATAAAACATCTGTTACTAACCATATACAACCAGATTTTCCTTGATGTTAGTAGTACCACTTTTCTCATCAGTCAACTATTATTATATTACAAGACAATACAAGAATCAAAGGAGACGAACTGAACTAGATATAAATATCAAAATGAGCAAATATGTATACATGTAAGACCAGTATGTGACTTCTTTCTGGTCATATTTCCTTTTGTAACAAAGCAACATACGATCTCGTATTGGCAACTACATACACGATATGCTTTTCACAATACATTCTGTCCCCAAAGAATTGCTTTATGCACTCGGCTCTGTTCAAACTGTATTTTAGCAAACCATTCTTTCATAAATTCTTGTTATTTGAACGTATTCGGACATCCTAATCCTAAGTATCGGGCATCTCATTTGACACTCAAAGTGGTAAAGGAGGAAGTCACAAAGAAGATTTATGTGGGCACTGGGTTGGAGTTAGCTTACAATGAAATAATAATTTTAAAAAAAAAAAATTTAAAAAGCAAAAACCCTTTGGCACATCGGATATATTCTTCTAGACATATATTTATAGATCAATCGGCTCTAATGGGTGATGTGGCATCACCATGCCGACCACCGTTATTTCTTAGGATGTAACCTGGTACCCATTTTGGACTGGGGTGACTTAGGAGCCAAGTTCGAATCTGAGGGGAAAAAATCCGCCTCAATGCAAATTTGAAATGGAAATCCTGCCAGGGAAACATCATGAAGGCAGACCTAACTCCAGCCAGTCTAGAACAAGACCGACACACCACAATTTTCGCCAGAGTTTAAGGCAATAAATGTAAAGAAGAAGAGTGGAGGACATGTGCAGTACCACAGCCTTCAAAGAGGCAGGTGGCCTTTTCAAACGAAAACCACTGGCAGGAGGAACACTCAACATAAAAATGCCAGACAGGAGTTGGATGTGTTGGCCAAAATGTGAAAATATAGCAATTTCGCTGTTGATGGACGACAGAACAATCCAATTTTGTTTTAAGACAAATGGAGAAGATTAAAAAAAGGATACAACCTGAGAAAAAAAGGAAGCAAATATTATTCCTGATCTTAAAAACAAGGTCAGAGATTCTTTCAAAAAGTCACAGAGAAATACTTCACAAAATCATTAGAGATTCTCTCCAAGATCTTACATGTGATTTCCTCTTAATTTCTGTAAGAAACTTTCCATGAATAGTCCCTTAGAGATTCTTCCTAAGATCCTGCCACTCTTTATGACCTTTTGTTATATCTTATCACTAAGGTCATATTCAAGATTCTACCTAAGGTCTTGTTATAACTTATCACCAAGGTCATGTTCATGATTTTACCTAAGGTCTTGTTATATCTCATCACCAAGGTCATCTTAAACATTCTACAGAATATATTATTAGACCCTGCTAGAAATTCTCCCTAGTTTCATACTCCAGATTCTCCATACAGATCCTACTAGAAATTCTCCCCAGTTTCATACTCCAGATTCTCCATACAGATCCTACTAGAAATTCTCCCCAGTTTCATACTCCAGATTCTCCATACAGATCCTACTAGAAATTCTCCCTAGTTTCATACTCCAGATTCTCCATACAGATCCTACTAGAAATTCTCCCTAGTTTCATACTCCAGATTCTCCATACAGATCCTACTAGAAATTCTCCCTAGTTTCATACTCCAGATTCTCCATACAGATCCTACTAGAAACTTTCCCTAGTTTCATACTCCAGATTCTCCATACAGATCCTACTAGAAATTCTCCCTAGTTTCATACTCCAGATTCTCCATACAGATCCTACTAGAAATTCTCCCCAGTTTCATACTTCAGATTCTCAATACAGATCCTACTAGAAATTCTCCCTAGTTTCATACTCCAGATTCTCCATACAGATCCTACTAGAAACTTTCCCTAGTTTCATACTCCAGATTCTCCATACAGATCCTACTAGAAATTCTCCCTAGTTTCATACTCCAGATTCTCCATACAGATCCTACTAGAAATTCTCCCTAGTTTCATACTCCAGATTCTCCATACAGATCCTACTAGAAATTCTCCCCAGTTTCATACTTCAGATTCTCAATACAGATCCTACTAGAAATTCTCCCTAGTTTCATACTCCAGATTCTCCATACAGATCCTACTAGAAATTCTCCCCAGTTTCATACTCCAGATTCTCCATACAGATCCTACTAGAAATTCTCCCCAGTTTCATACTTCAGATTCTCAATACAGATCCTACTAGAAATTCTCCCCAGTTTCATACTTCAGATTCTCAATACAGATCCTACTAGAAATTCTCCCCAGTTTCATACTTCAGATTCTCCATACAGATCCTACTAGAAATTCTCCCCAGTTTCATACTTCAGATTCTCCATACAGATCCTACTAGAAATTCTCCCCAGTTTCATACTTCAGATTCTCCATACAGATCCTACTAGAAATTCTCCCCAGTTTCATACTTCAGATTCTCAATACAGATCCTACTAGAAATTCTCCCCAGTTTCATACTTCAGATTCTCCATACAGATCCTACTAGAAATTCTCCCCAGTTTCATACTTCAGATTCTCAATACAGATCCTACTAGAAATTCTCCCCAGTTTCATACTCCAGATTCTCCATACAGATCCTACTAGAAATTCTCCCCAGTTTCATACTTCAGATTCTCAATACAGATCCTACTAGAAATTCTCCCTAGTTTCATACTCCAGATTCTCCATACAGATCCTACTAGAAATTCTCCCCAGTTTCATACTCCAGATTCTCCATACAGATCCTACTAGAAATTCTCCCCAGTTTCATACTTCAGATTCTCAATACAGATCCTACTAGAAATTCTCCCCAGTTTCATACTCCAGATTCTCCATACAGATCCTACTAGAAATTTTCCACACAGTTTCATACTCCAGATTCTCCATACAGATTCTACTAGAAATTCTTCCCAGTTTCATACTCCAGATTCTCCTTACAGATTCTACTAGAAATTCTTCCCAGTTTCATACTCCAGATTTTCCATACAGATCCTACTAGAAATTTTCCCCAGTTTCATACTCCAGATTCTCCCCACAGATCCTACTAGAAATTCTCCCTAGTTTCATACTCCAGATTCTCAATACAGATCCTACTAGAAATTCTCCCCATACTCCAGATTCTCCATACAGATCCTTCTAGAAATTCTCCCTAGTTTCATACTCCAGATTCTCCATACAGATCCTACTAGAAATTCTCCCCATACTCCAGATTCTCCATACAGATCCTACTAGAAATTCTCCCCATACTTCAGATTCTCCATACAGATCCTACTAGAAATTCTCCCCATACTCCTGATTCTCCATACAGATCCTACTAGAAATTCTCCCCATACTCCAGATTCTCCATACAGATCCTACTAAAAATTCTCCCCATACTCCAGATTCTCCATACAGATCCTACTAGAAATTCTCCCTAATTTCATACTCTAAACTCTCCCTAATCTCTTACTACAAATATTTACTAAATGTTCTACTAGAAATTCTCCACAAACTCTTATTCCATATTCTTCAAAAAGATCTTACTAAAGGTTATCCTCACAGATCCTGTCAAAGACTTTCTACACCCAGACTGACCTATATGGAAATAGGATGCAGCTGTGTTTATACAACAAACTGTCAGCAACTGTACACAGCAAAACATTAAGTAAAAAGCAAACAATCATGTTCCAAGGCTCAAACATCCACAGGTACATGGTGCCAACCTTGTA